CATCCACCCTGCCTTAAGCTCTCGCAGGGCTCAGTTTACTTCATCCGACACTGCCTCAGCTCTGGCCACTGCTTGTTGATAATACAATTCCCTACTGTGACCTTCCCGTGGATCTCCTGGTATTGCAAGCTCATTTCCTGTTTCACCACTCTCTGATTGTACCTCGGCGGGCGGATCCATTGTCATTAGGTCAAAATGTTTGCTTCTATCTAGGTCCGACTCTCCTTCCATGTCATCAATATACCCAATCTCCGACATCTTGCTTATTCAGGTAATTTGAATTGCGTTCGTTTCCACCACTCTTAAGTCAGGGCACGTTCGTGTGCCTTGTCTCACTAAAATGATCAGGGCACGTTCGTGTGCCTTGACTTGTACTCATTTATCAGGGCACGTTCGTGTGCCTCGTCTTAGAGTCGCACCTGATATCATTACAAACTTTACATTGATATTTGGGTTATTTACAAAGCAATATCACTTCAGTCAACTATGACTGCTAATTGTGTTCTGCACTTACGTCAGACAACAATAATGACATGTGTTTTCATTCTCATATGCACTACACTAGGAGTGATGAAGATCACCCAGACAAGACTATTTTCTGGACTAACAAGGTTTAACTATTATCGATGTGAGAAGTATACGGACGTTGCACTGCACTTCTCGCCACTGGATACGCACACATACACACTCGTCCCTCGAGTGACGCGTATTGGTGAGCCAAGCTACACTAAGAGTGGCTGAGCTCACTCTGACAACATTATTTTCTTCAATAACAAAAGGTTCAAATATTATCGCCACTATAAATCTACGGGCGTTGCACTGTAATCCGTGGCACTGGGAACACACGCGCATCCCTCCAGTGGGTTCAGTTGAGTTGACCTTGGTTACTCTGCTGCCCGCACGTTCATTCAAGCTAACTCACTGCTACACAGTAGACATCCACGTTTTGACTATAACCGCCAATCAGGGCGGTTAAAGGAATATTCAGACTCGTCACGTCAAACTCGAACATTATAATTCGGTCAAACCTGTTGAATACAATTCATTTAGTATTTCAAATAAGTCATACATAGGCACTCCTACATAAATGTTTAATCCAATATATATTTACATAACAATCATGGCTATGTAATTAGTCTAATCTAAACACTTACAATGAGTACTCAATTTGCCATATTTCTATATTGTCACACTGATAAATGATGCAATGGACACAGTCTACCTGTGTACACAATAAGTACTAGTTAAACTTACGTGTTGAAAGTCTAGAGAGAAGCAAGGGTAGGTGTTAACTCTAAGATATGGGTAGCTATACTGAAATGCCCACCCTATAGCCTGGCTCCCTGGCTGGTCAGCTATGGCTGAGTCAGGTGATTATAATTATACGTAAACAAACTCCCTTCACACCCTCCAACCTCCTTCTGGGCCTCTGATCTACACCATCTTCGTACTCTACATACTGTATACGGGCAGGCACACCCAATAAACATGACATGACTTACCGCCTAACATAATGTTTGTTTATGTGTCATCCTACTCATTGCTGCTTGCGGTAACACTCATGAAGCGGATGTTTCCTGATTCTGTAATTGCTCGAGGCATGAACATGATAAGAGCACAATACACAGAGGTTGTGAGGACGTTAGGACGGTGTGTCACCGAGGATTTAGTAGATAAACTTAGAGAAAATAAATTTTCCATTATTGTTGACGAAACAACAGACATTAGTACGATGAAAGCATCCTCTGTTCTTGTAAGATTTGGGGATTCACCAACAAACAGCATTAAATCTGGTTATTAGAGGTGATCAATGTATATGGTGATGAATCATCTACAGGGTCAACAGGGGAAAATTTTTATAATTTAATTGTGAAAACCTTAGAAACACACCGAATTCCACATGAGAACCTGATTGGCTTTGTTGCTGATGACTCTAGTAACATTATGGGAGAACACAATTCTGTAAGTTCGGAGGCTGCAAAGACGCTACCACGGCATTGTGAAGACATGATCAGAATTATATACACCTATTTTTCCCATAGTGCTAAACGACAACATGAATTTAATTAATTTCAATCATTCTGTACTGTCAAACCACACAAAGTTCTGCATTTTAATCAGACCCGCTGGTTATCATTCCACCAGGTAGTTGAAAGAGTATTAGAGCAGTGGCAGCCCCTAAAAATGTTTTTTACTTTAAAAGAATCAGAGGAAAGATTGGTGGCCGTACAACAAATAACAGAGAGTCTTAGGGAATCTTCACTTTTATTGCACTACAATTTTATTAATTTCATATTGCCCAAATGTAACAAGTTAAATCTACTGTTTCAGAGAGAGTCACCGACTATACATTTGTTACACGATAGTATATGTCAGCTTTACAGGAATCTTTTGGGATATTTTTGTCGTCATGAAGTTTTTAAAACGGGTAATCTTGATGCAGTTGATCCCAGAAATGAAGAAAATCACCTCCCAATAGGCCAAATATACTTGGGAGCAACAATACTCGGCCTACTGCAAAGTGAACAATATAGAGAACTCCCTAATATGGTCAAGGATGTACAATTCAGATGTCGTATCTTCATGATAAACCTTTGTGTGCAATTACGTCAACGATTTGATTTTGGCAGTAAGTTTTTATGGAAGTGTTCATTTCTGTCATCAAATAGGGTATTTGATAATAAATCCAGGAAGGAGATGCTATCATTATACGACTTTGTGAAGGCGGTGTCCCGCATATACTGTACAGTGGCAGTATACAAGTTTTAGATGGTCAATGGAGAGACTTAGATGTGATTGCTATACCACCCGAGATTAAGGACAGCAGTGACATAGTGGACGTTTATACAAAACTAGGGGAACTTAAGGACGGTGTAGATGTTTCCCAATTTAAGGACCTTTGTACATTTGCTTTGCAGGTATTTTGTCTTCCAACATCCAATGCAGATGCAGAGAGACTATTTTCTGAATTGAATTTAATGAAAACAAAATCCAGAAACGCTCTGCAAACTCCCTCTATTAATTCATTAATAGCCTTGTCTGAGGCCGTGAAATTCCAGGGTGGATGTATAAATTTTACACCAAATCAGAGGACGATAACTTGTGTTTGATATTTTTAGTTCAATTAGTGTTTAATGTTCCCATGTTGTTATAATATTATATGATTGTAGGGTTTTTGTATGTGCATGTTTATATTTTGCCAAGACATTACAATTGGTATACCTAAGATTCATGCATTTTAATGTCTATTAATACCCAACGAAAACGTGAGGAAAAATGACGTCATAGAGTTGAGGAATAAACGACTCGGTGGTCGGCGGAGCCGGTTGTGGTTGATTGCTTATAATGTAATGAAGGTTTGTAAATTGTAATGTTTATGTATATTTATATTTATATGTGGTTGGATTAGGGTGATTGTTAGAGTATTGTTTTATATTTATGAAACTGTTGTACGAGTGTGGCGAATTGGCGATTGTTAATGTTTGTTTATTGCTGGTTGTTGGTGTTTCTTGTCAACATATTGTGCATTCCAACATTGTGTTCGCTACTCCTCTCCTATAATGATGTAGAATACTTGAGTAAGAGTGAATAGTACAGGAGCAATAGGCTAAACATGAGGTGAAATGTAAGTAAACAAAACGTTCGAGTCTGTGGGGGTCGGTTACCGCCCGGTTCCTGGTAAGGTGTCTAGCTCGAGAACATAAGTACGTAACAAAATACATTTTTTCAGACTAGAATTACATTGTTTTTTTGTGTGTGTGAATAGTTTATAATATTAAATTCTGTAATACTGTAATAGCTTTAACAATGACATGTTAAGTACGATGTTTGGATCAGTCTGCTCAAAGCAACCCATAAAAGCCGACGGCTTCAGAGCCGGCTCAGTGCACACAAACTATGGGCAGTCTTCGGACCTCCCCCACTGGCCTGCGTTGTAAGTTGACTTCTGTCTTTGATCGGGTGATGTACTCATGGTATTCATTGTTGAGGCTGGCTGGCTGTTTTGGTGTTTTATGTATTTATGTTCTAGAATCGTGTATTGATTTGGTTGTCAGTGATATTGGCAACCTTTAAGTAACCTGGTATGTTCAAGTGATTAGTATTATTTCATTGTTATTAGTGGTAGGCGTTTCTTTACTCCAATCATCAAGTATTCATTTATTAAAAGGGGCTGCATTCAATCCATACATTACACGGTAGTTGGAGTTGTTCTCAATACAAATTTAAGAACCATATATTGAAATTCTCTTTAATAACAATCACTTTTTGTTTGTTACGAGCCTTACCCCTTTGACACGTAACAAGGATGTCATCTTCGTTGGTGAGCTCGGAGGTGACTACAGAGGCCGATATAGGACCGGCAGGGTCGTCCACAGATATTGCACATGTGGAGGGCTACATTTAGTGTGGGAGGGGCGACAGCAGCGTTTTTCCGGCGTTGGCGCTTGTCTGCCTCAATGTGCAGTCAGGCTAACTCGAAAGTATTAATACCTTCTTGTGTGGTACTCCTCCAAACGTTACAGAGTGGAGTAATCGTCTCCCGGGTGAGGGGGTCGATTTGGCACTTTTTCAGGTTTGTCTTAAGACTATCCCTATACTTTTTCAATTGCCTCCAGCATTATATTTGCTATTCATTAAGTGACTGTAAAGTAGCTGCTTTGACAGTCCACTGTCGTCCATGCGGGTAGCATGGCCAGTGCAACATAGCTGTTCTTGGATAATGGTAGCCTCTATGCTCCTACAATTGGTGTCAGCGAGAATACTGGCATTTGTTCTCTTGTCTTCCCAGCGAACTCAAAGAATGGAATGTAGAGTACGTTGGTGAAAGTTTTCAACTGCCTTGAGGTGCCTCCTGTATGTGACCCATGTCTCGCTGCCATACAGTACGGTGGGGAGGACCACTGCTCAATATACGTGCAGCTTTGTAGATAATTTCAGTTCCCACAGCTGAAGACAGTGGTACAGAATCCGCTAATGGTTTGAAATGCACATCTGATCCGATGTTGAATCTCTTCTTCGATGTCCGCGTTAGTGGACAGGTGGGACCCAAGATATTGAAAGTGGGTAACATTAGAGAGGGTAGTACTATTAACCTGGATGGACGGTGGAGGTGTGGCTGAGCCAGAGACAAGCTGAAGTGTGCATATGCATCTGCGTAGGTGTTCAGGATCTCCGTAGGTCGCGTTCAGTGTAAGCGACGAGGGTAAGGTCGTATGCATACTGAAGTTCAGTGATGGAAGCGGCCGACATCTTTGATCCTGCTTGGTACCGGCTTATTTTGAAAAGTCCTTTCATCCGGTATTGGGTGTCCACTCCACCAGCTAAATCGGCCCTGGCACGAATAAGGAAGGCAATCAAGAAATTGGAAAAGAGAGTTGGTGTCAGTACACATCATTGTTTTACCCTCGCTTGGATGGGAAAGAACTCAGGCTGGATGCCATTATTGTGTAGGGCAGTGCCGTTCATGGCAGCGTGGACCTGCCTCACAATTGCAATAAATTTTTGTGGGCAACCCAAACGACTGAGGGTTAGCCAGAGGGCTTCCCTGTTGACAGAATTGAAGGCCTTGGTAAGGTCAATGAAGGCCATGTACAAGACTCGAAGCTGTTCTCTTTACTTTTCCTGTATTTGGCGGGCAGCAAAGATCATGTCAGTGGTGCCACATGAAAAAACAGAGCATTGGATTCTTGGCCTGTCCTAACACTATATTTATGTTGTTTAAGTCCAGTTACAAGATCTTTACCTGTCTGTCCTAAGCAAAACATATTACATTCCTTGTAAGGAACCTAATGCAACCACCTGTATTGTTGGGGGAGTTCTTGATTAACATTTGTTTAACAGTGCATGAGTTTTTAAATTCCACATTGACGTTCCAGGTGTTTAGTTGTAAAGGAATTTGAGAGAAATTTTTGTGAAATGGAATCCAATGCTCTTTTGGTTTATTTGAGGGATAATAAGGATTGCCTTGACTATGATAATGCCTCCTCAATATTACCTTGTAATTCAATTGACAGTAAGAACATTATAGAATCCAGTCTCATTAAACATGCCGAATCCGTCAACATGAATTTGAGTAATGGTATGTACAAACTGGATAATTTCGTAATTAAGAAGATTTGTAAACAGGTGAGAAGGTTGGGTCATCTTACCCTCTGACCTGACTACCGACTGCTGCGGTGCTTTTTGAAGATTAGTAGGGTCACTACCTAATACCTGACCATTGTGGACTTCGTGTTTTCTTCTTTCCTTGTGGTTATCAGCATATACCTGGATCACGCGCACCTACAGTGATTTACTTGCATATATATATATATATATATATATATATATATATATATATATATATATATATATATATATATATATATATATATATATATATATATATATATATATATATATATTTATAACGAAGAGGAGAACTAGGGAAAACACAAACATCTTGACTAAGTTGGGCTTCTTTTAATCGCTAACGTTTCAGAAATAATAATTTTCCATCATCAGAGCCTAGAAAACAAAAGTTTTGAAAGAGTTTTAAAAATATAGGTGATATACAATAAAAACATAACATTATACGAAAATTTACCTTCGATAAAATTAAAAAAAGAGCAATACAATTTAAAACCGACAAAAATGACGAGAGACCTACATAGAAAGCTAAAATCAGGAATAAAAAGTGTGAAATATAATATACAGGGGGGGTATTACCTTAATTCAGACGAGCCTTAGTGTGAAAAACACAACAATTCACAGGAAGCCATATCACAAATGGATGGCTTTGCTTTATATTGGTGCAAGGCTTCCATAATGAGGTCTGTCTCACAGTCGCTCTTGCCGAGAACTGAGAAATCGGACGGCGAAAACAGGTGGTCATGTTGGTGGGCGTGGTTACGAATAGCTGAATGTGGTGGTTGTGTGATTAACTGGCCTGTTCGAACGGAACGGCCCAAGTGTTCATGGATGCGAGTTATCAAATGTCTTTTAGTTTTACCTATATATGCTGCCCTACAGCTAGCGCACGTAAATTGATAAACAACTAAGGATTGCAGGTGTGTGGGTATGGTGTCTTTAATTTTAAAGAATTTTTTAATTGAACTCTGGGTTTTAAAGATTAGTCTAAGAGAAATTTGTGGATAGAATTCATTGGAAAGCTTCTTAAGTTTATTTCTAAGGGTGAATCTGAGTGGGCCTGTTTACGGGATGGTGAAATAGATAGAATATTTAGGGACGGTGTGGATTTGAGGCTGTGTGGGGCTAAAAAACCTATTTAGGGTTTTTACAATATAAGTGTCTGTAAATCTCTTAGGGAAACCATTGTTAAAGAGTAGTTCCTTTATGTATTTTAGTTCAATGTCCAAGTGAAAATAGCTTGAAGATATATTAAAGGCTCTGTTGGTAAGAGTACGTGCTAGATTACGTTTGTAATTAAGAGGATAAAAGATGAAAATTTTGAACTCAAACCAGTGATGTCTTGAACACCAGAGGAGTGATGCTGCCTTGGTCCACATTCTGGATTCTCTCTTCATACAATTTTCTCTTTTCGTTTTCGTTCTTAGTTGAAATTTGTGATTAGTACTTTCTCTTGATAAATATAATATATGGTTTTATTCGATGTCACCGAGTGTGTGAGAAGTCCTTCTACAGATATTAAATGGAAGAATTGTTAGTTATTGCTTCACATTATTCAATTCCTACTTGTAGTCATATAAGAAAAACATCACATCAAGAATGTAATAATTAAATACATAGTTTAAAATTAATTGGAAAAATGAAGAAGTTAAGAATTTAATTAAGTTGAATCCAGAGGTAGGAACAGGAGTTCAGATAGAATTAGAACGGATATAACTTAAAAGAGACAAGTTTGTAACGCGAAACATAATACTTACTCCAACAAACTCGAGAAGCAAAGGGACATACTCGTAAAGAAGCTCATAAAGCTCGTGAAGAAGCTTGTGAAGCTAATGAAGAAACTCGGTTAGCAAGGGAGTATGAATTAAATGTGGTAGAATTGAAGGCTCGAGCGAATGCAACTCACGATGAGAAAAGGAGACGAATTTGATATGCTTAACAAATTAGTTTCCCCCTTCCAATGAGTTAGCTCCTGAAGATTATTTAAGATTTATTTTTAGAAAACTGCTGCTGCTCACTTAAAGTAGAGATCAATGGACTTGGCTACTTCTGACAATATTAATAGAAAAAACAGCTAAAGTGTACAATAATTTAGAGCAAACTGATGATTATGACTATGTTAAAGAGGGAATTCTTAATGCATTTTCCATCACAGTAGAGGAATATCGACAAGTTTTAGACTTAGTAAGAAGTCTAACATACCATACAGGCGTATTAAGAATTTGCCTCATTTACAAAATGGGGTAATTTGAAAAGTGTGTTAAATTAACTGGTCAATAAATATGATCACTTAAAGAACGTATACCATACGATGTAAAATCAACCTGAGGGCAAAACCTTGGGACTCATAATTGTTCAGTTACAGTTATCAAGGACTTATGTCAGGCAGGAGAATGTCACTTCCTCTGTAAGTAAAAGTAAACCGGTGTCTCATACTATGAATATGAAAACAGAGGAAGATCTTTTTGAATGTTTTGAATCAAAATGAACTGTTTCCTTAACTGAAGGGGATAATATACAGTAGTGACTATATTGTTACAGATACTGGTGCTGCCCAAAGTCTTTTTTATGTAATACATTACCTGATGTTGAGAAGAATTTTACTGGGGAGAAAGTTATATTGAGAGAATTATCCACTGCCCTTTTGGGTAATCTTGCTAAAATTTACCTAAATTGTCCCTTACTCAAAGGCACTGTCATAGTCAGGGAAAATCTGTCAAAGTCAACTTTGCCGCAATTGTGGACAAAAACCTGGAAATTGGTACAGATGTTCTTTGTGGTAATAGAAAGTTTTGGTCCTAAAGGGCAAAGGTTTCAAGGTCAAGGTCAGTCAGAGTAGCAGGGACAGATGCTAAACACAACCCCAAAACGGCTCCCCGAAGGTCTGGAATGATGGTTTTTGAGTCAAAGTAATCTCTGTAATAAAGCAGAGCCACACTCTAAGGCACATGCACCGGGTTATATACACGGGGTAATAATAATAATAATTTTACTTGAGTATACAGGGTATAATAATTATATAGAATATGTAATATAAAATTTCTCTTTTCTTTCCATTTGTTTTTGTGCAAGGGACAATCTCGACAGACTCTTGTGTGCCCAGTGGATCGTGTGTTAGGCGAGACTGAGAAAGCCTATTTAGCTGTGTAGGATTAATAACAGCACCAACGTATGGCTAAAAGCAACATTTTTATTTGCTAAACTTTCGACAAATACTAGATATCTTGTCTTCACCAGATCTAAAACATGACATAAAGTACAATAATATTTAAAATAATCGATATGATACATTAAATCAAATCAAATACAATTTTAAGTACAGTATCCTTATTAAGAAAGCTGGACCGTTGTGTGGCAGCTATTGGTCGGGTGTTGGCCTGTACACCACCAGCTCAGCCAGCATGACGATCACAGATAACACCAAGCCAGCGCTCAACACGTAGAAGGCCCCTTGTACCTACCAATGCACATATAATACGTCAACTTGTAAGAGAAGTACATACATTACGTGCATCCCGTAAGATGTCTTGCATATGTGAATTAAGAAGGTCAAACATTTGTTAATGTGAAGTTTATGATACATATTTTCATTGCCAGAAACACAAGCATCTATGACAGAAACACAGCCACCTGTTACAGATACACACCCAACTGTTACAGAAACACAAGCATCTATGACAGAAACACAGCCACCTGTTACAGATACACACCCAACTGTTACAGACACATCCACCTGTTACAGATACACAACCAACTGTTACAGAAACACAAGCAACTATTACAGAAACACAAGCAACTGTTACAAATACACAAGCAACTGCTACAGATGCACAACCAATTGTTACAGATACACAAACAACTGTAATATACACAACCACCTGTTACAGATACACAACCAACTGTAACAGAAACACAATTACAGATACACAACCAACTGTTACAGATACACAACCAACTGTAACAGATACACAACCAACTGTTACAGATTCACAACCACCTGTTACGGATACACAAACAAATGTTACAGAAACGCAACCATCTGTTACAGATACACAACAACGTGTTACA